TCGTGTCTGACTCAGCCTGCTTCCCCCGCGACGCCCAGTTTCTTGCTGCCATAAAGCCCTTGGCCAAGAGGATGAGGCCCCAGTGTCCTGGGATGGCAGTCAAAGTCCTGGCCCCGTCTCCCTCCATTAGGGCTACCATCCAGCACCTCCAGTCTCTTTATAGCTCCTACCCCCAGTGTGGTTCACACCTCCACGCCCTTGCACAGGCTGTTTCCTCTACCTCAAAAGCCCTTCCTCCTGAGAGCTTCCCCAAAGCATGGGGTGGAAGATGACTTGGGGTGGCTCACAAATGTGCCATTAAATAACACCGGATCCTAGACTGAGGCTATCAGGCTCTCCCAGGTCTCTTCATCAGTTTGTATGGGATAGTCTGGTTTGTGCCTGTTGTCCTGATGTAATTGATGGTACCCACCTCTTCCCCTTCATAACCTCAGATGTGCCATAGTTTTGATGATAAATTACATGGTCACTTTAATCCTTCCAACTGCATGAGAAATAAAGCCTGTGCAGTCCCAGACTTTAACACATCCCCAATGTGTGCTAATTCCTCTCTCTAACAAACGGAGAGGTAGGAAAAGCATCTAGCTAGAAGTTAATAATGGCGCTTTGTTTTCACTGTGGTTGTTTCTTTGGATATCTTCTATTTCAGATAAATGATACTCTTTCCATTTAAGATATGAAACTTATTTTTAATATATTAAATTTTAAAAATGATACGATTGAAAGAGAAATTTCACAGGCTAGTGAATTCCTATTCATTCCTTAAAACCCAACTCCAAATCACCTTTACACTACCGTCCTCCCCTCTCTTCCTCTTCCTCTTCCTTTGACATCTGGCAGGGTCACAATCGTACCTATTACACTAAATTATGATGACCTAGCTACTACTTTGTTAGGCATCTACCACATGCCAGGCACTGAGCACTTACTCTCATCCTCTCACTGAACCCACCCCACAGCTCTGTGGAATAGCTGTCACTACCCTTGCTTTACAAGTGATGAAATAGGGGTGAAGGAACTTATCAACAGTCACTCAGCTAGTCAGTGGTATGGTCCGGAACTGAACCCAGACTGGGCAACTTCAGTCTGTGGCCTTGACCACCACTGTCCTAGTTAGTGCTCTCTCTCCCCCACCAGCGGGCAGACAGTGTGCCCAGCTCACCTCCTATCTCATTCAGAGCCAGCCCTAGGCCTGGCACAAACTCCACTCTGATAAAGACATGAAGATGTGTGTGAGGCATTGGCTGGAACTCAGTCCCTGCTGAGATGTCTGGGGACGTCTGGGCCCCACTCCCCAACCTACGATAGAGAACACAGAGCTCCCCCAGCACAGATCTGGGCTGGAAGGACCTTCCAGGAAACACCACCACCGTGTGTGCTGGGTCTCCCCGCCCCCACTCTGCCTCCTCACTGCCTGAGCCTCCAACAGGCAGGGAAGGTCCCCACTTCCTGCTGCCAGACCAGGATGGCCAAAAGAGAGCAGCAGGGTCTGAGCGCTGGGAAGGAAATGCCAGTCTCAGGACACGGCTGGGCAAATCAGAAGCAGCTTCCTAGAGGGGACAGGGCTTGAGCAGTGCTTAGAAGGAGGCTGGAGTTCTGGAAAACCAAGGGCAAAGACCATTCCAGGGGAGGAGTCTCGGTTGAAAGCGTCGGGGAAAATTTGAAAGAAGGCTGAAAAGCAGGTGTTAGCTAAGTCCCTGGTGGGCCTTGAACACCAGGCTGAGGAGTTTGGGTAACACTGGGGATTCGCTGGGGACTGGATCAGGGAGTGACACACAGATAACTGGGGGTTCTGAGGCCCCAAGATGGGCAGCACCTCGACCAAGTCACAGAGCAGCAGTGGCAGGGTGGGGGTTTGAGCCCACTCTTGCCTCCCAGGAGACCCCAGGTTCACCTGGTGGCCACACCCCAAGAATGGAGCCTGGTGATGGGGAGGGCGAGCCTGCAGCAAGCAGCCAGGGGCAGGCCAGTGCCCACAGGGGAGGTAGGGATTGTGGCCAAGGAGAGAGGCGTGCATGAGGTGGGGTTCTTTCTCCCAAGTGTCACTGGGCACAGCCATTCCCACTGCCCAATGCCTCCTCAGGATTAGAGGGTCAGTGGGCAGGAACTGCAGGCTGGCACCAGCCCTCAGGAGCTGAGCCCTGCAGCTGGCACTACCTCTGCAGCCCACCTTCCAGCCCTGGCCTCAGCCAGCCTCCGTGTCAGTCCTCCACCAAGCTCCTTCCTGCCTGCCTTTCTTTTCTTCCTTTCCCCCCACTTAACAGATTGCGGCAGCAAGATGGCACAAATTTATGGCTCAACTCACCAAAAATAACAAGAGATCTATCAAAGGCAGTTTCCGTGAAATTAACAGGCGCCTGTACCCTCTTGTCAAACTCACTCGGCTCTGAGGCGTCCCAGGCACTCTGCCCAGTCACTGCCCACCAGCCCCCAGCCCAGTGCTCTTCCGGTACCAGCCCAAGCCCACCCTGCTAGGCCTTGCTGTGGATCCCCCTCAGCGGTGTCCCAGAGTGGATGAACACAGCTTCCCTGCCCTGGTGCCTGGGAGAGGGGCCAGGACAAGGGTCTCACCCTTCCTGTTCACTACCATCCCCACGAATCTTGCTCTCAGTCTGGCAGCTGCAGGTGCCAGTGCATTCTCCTGCAGCCCAGTGGGGAGGAGACAAGGGAAGGAATGGAGGAGACCAAAGGCTTGGCAAAGGTGGCGCTGCCACAAGGCACAGACGGTGCCATGGACTCTCAGACATGCCCTGACATGTGGAATAAACAGTCATGTGCCCGCTGTGTCTCGCACCAGAAAGGTTGGGCAGGAGGGAGGAGATGGCAGAATAGAAGAACTTCCTGCCTGCCAAGGGAGGGGAAGGGGCTGTGCCAGCCCAGCTCTGGGCACCAGTGTGCCATGTGAGCCCCCTTATGACAGCTGATGCCACACCATCCCATGCCAACTCCCTACAGGGGCCCTCCCTGAAAAGCAACCCCAAGGAAACATGCCAAGTAGGACAAGGGGCAAGAGCAGAGGTCAGGCTTGGGAACAGCTGGGAGCCCTAGCTCAGGGCTCCCTGCTCAAAGAGACACCTGGCCTCATGCCCAGGAATAATCAGGCATCCAATCTCCACCCATCTCTAGCCCCAGAGGCCTCTGCAGAGGTTCTGATGATGGTGCCTTTCCCATCGCCGGCCCTCTCTGATCCCCAAAGACACCCCAGCTACCAACCAATTCCTGCTTCCGGCTTCAACCAAGCCCAGCTGGCTGCTCCTGGCTCTGTGCTCCACATGGCAGCCTGCCCAGATGGTGCCCGCCCATGAGGGCAGAGCCTTGCTCCGTCCACTGCAGATCACTGGGCCGATGGACCGCAGGGAAAGCCAGACAAAAGAACCCGCCTGCAGCTAAGCACGATGGGGGAGACCCCCACAGAGTGACAGGCAGTGGTGGCCATGCAGGAAGAGCCATAAACCTCCTGATATACGCCTGGCGTTCTCCGCCGATGTTCAACAAAGAAGCGAAATTCAATTTCTTCCTACAGGCACTAAATCCCAGGCCAGCCTCCAGGGCCTGTAACCTGCCCGCGGCCTGGCTGTCACTCGGACGGCTTCATTGACCGCCGTTAGAGGCCAAGCTAGCCTGGGAGAGAGGCCACAGCAAGGACACTGGGCACTTGCCGTGGATGGGCACGATGCCAGATGTCTCATTGGAGAGGCCAAGAAGGCCCCCATCCAAAGTACTGGGTCAGGCTACTTTCAAGATAACTACCCCCTCTAATTAATTCAGGGATACCTCCCCATTCTACAAAGAAATCATTGCCCACCATAAATAAAGGGATCAACTCAAGGTAACAGTCAAAGGTAGAGGCCAACTCCAGGGCTCTAGCCAGCAAAGCAGGGCTGGGGACAGGCTGCACTCCTCCAGTGCTCCTAGCAGCCCTCACACGCTACTCCGTCTCCTTGTAAACACTCTCCCAGTGAAATCCAGATGCCCTTTCCATCCTCTATCCCTGCATCCTTGATCCTCATGAGGATAGGCCAGCACCTGTTATACCAAATGGGGAAACTGAGGCCCAGAGAGAGGAGAGGCCTCCCTGTCGGTACCAGAGCTGCAGAACAGACCCCAGACCTGCCTCCTTCCCATCCCCATGTCATCAGTCCCTGTTCCCTTCAGGTCTCCTGGTCAGTCCCCGGCCCAGCACTGTTCAACGGGCACACAGGATCCAGCTGAGGCCCTCAGGCCCTTGAAGCTGCAGGAAGCAGGGTCTGCAGAAGGCAGCCGTGGCTGAGGGAGTTGGGGTGGGAGTGGGAGCAGGCAGGACTCAAGGGCTCGCAGAGCTTTTGCCCAGTCAGCAGGAAGCTCTAGCAGCTGGCGGCCTCAGTCCCAGAAGACATGGGCCCTGAGGGGGGAGACAGGGGACACCGGGAGCTGAGCCAGCCCAACCCTCCAAGGCAGCCTGGAAGCTCAGGCCTCTTCACCTAGGCACACTCTTCCTTGCCTCTCTCTGCCCTGACCCTGGGGCAACTGCCAAAACTCACTGACCTGTGTGGACAGGAATGCATCCCTGTTCCCTGCCTACTGCAGCCTCCAGGCAAACTTGTCAACTTGCAGCACCAGGGCCTGCCACGATCACTCCCAGCCTTGGGCCTTTGTGCACGCTTCTTCCTCTGCTTACAATGCCCTCATCTCACTTCTGCTTGTCCTTCAGGTCTCTGTTCCTGCATTACTTCCTTCAGGGAGCCTCTCCTGCCTGCCCAGTTAGAAGGTCCCTCCCTGGGTTTATATATCACCCTGCATTATCTGATCTGTGCCCCCATTCTTCTAGCCAGTCTGCAAACTCTTCAAGAGTGAGGTCTCACTGCCATGCATTTTGGTGACTGCAACATTTGGTCAAGGCTCAGCAGAAGGGTGACATCAGTGAACAGCTACATGCATGGCCGAGGATCTGCCAGGATGGACACCAAGGACACTATCAGCCCCTGCAGACCCCGCCCCACCCAGGCCCTGCTCAGACTCACCATATCTCATCTCGGTTGTGAATAGATCATTGCTGCTCCCCGAGTGCAAATCGGCCTCAGCAGGTGGGGCTGGGCCTCCGGGCACCAGGGCATTGGACAGGGTGTGGGCAGCAGGAGGGCCTGGAGATGTGGTGGTGGCGGAGCCGGCCCCCGCCTCTCCAGGGCAGCTGCAGCCTGGCTGAGCAAAGCCGCAGGCCCTGCCGGCAGCGCGGCCACACTCCTCACTCCAGCGGCAGAGCACACCACAGGTGAACTGGCTGGAGTTGTTGTTGTTGATGAGCAAGACCTCGACAAAGCGGAAGGCTAGGGCAGCAGGCGCCAGCAGGCGCGGGGCCTCGGAGGGCTCAGCCGACAGGCACAGCTGCACAAAGTTCTTGTCGAAGTGCAGGAACGTAAAGGGGCCCGAGCCGCTGCACAGCTCCAACCCCGCTGCCGCCTCCGCCTCCTCCTCCTCTGGCCGCCCCACCTCTGACTCCGCCTGGGCCACTGCCTCCTCCGGGCTAGGCCGCAGGCAGGTAAAGTTGACCAGGTAGTGGTCCAGGGGCAGCAGGCGGGGGGCAAAGTGTGCGCACACCTGCTCCTGGCGGTTGAAGCGCAGGTAGAGGGAGTACTTGGTGGGGTCAGGGTTCTCCAGGGTCCAGGAGCAGCCCGAGGCGATGGTAGGAAAGAGGTCCTGCAGCGAGAAGGCCCCGTAGAGCACACCCGAGGCCAGGGCAGAGCAGGCACTGGGGGCGGGGTCGAAGGCGGCGGCCAGGCGCAGGGACAGAATCACAGACAGTAAGAGGGGACAGGCTGGGGTCATCCTATGTCCCTTGCCCTGTGGAGAGAGACAGTGGTCAGTGGGCCCCCAGCACAGCCAGCATGGGCTCTGAACCCCCTATGGTGAGCTGTGGAGTGGGCCTCATAGTTAACACCATGGTCTTTGGAGGAGTGTCACCCAGGTCCACCTGTGTGAACTTAGACAAGGGACTTGACCTCTCTGAGCCTCAGTTTCCTTACCTGTAAAATGGACCAATCATAGTACCTATCTCACAGGTTTCCTACAAGGGTAAAATGAGATAAGTAAGGGAAAGGACTTGGGAGAGTGCCTGGAATCTTGTGAACCCTGAAGAAATAGTAGCTGTTGTTGCCATTGTTCTGTTTCCTCAGAGTCAGCCCATCAACTACAAGCATATTTGACATTCAGATCCAAGCCCCAGCCCCACCATCCAACCTGTATTCTCCATAACTGTTGCTCTCAGTCCCAGTGTGTCATGATCAGCTGTGAGGCATGTCACACGTAACCTGCGGTAATTGTCAAAGCGGTGATGTTTGACTACGATTTGCTTTTTTATAAATTAGAGCAATTTGAGGTTATTCCTGGAACAATGTCATTCTCACTTGCTTTACTGAGAGGGAGAGAAAGGGGCGGAGTTACAGCCAGTGTGCCAGGAACTGCGCACAACCTGAGCCATGCCCACAGGAGCGCACTGTCAGTGTGGATGTCATGTGTATCACTGCCATGGATTTCCTGGTTGAAACAAGGGGGAGAGGCACCAAGCAAGGGGACTTTGGGTTGAGCCCCAACCCAGCCAGCCGCCTGCTGGCTGGGTGACCCTCATGAATCTCAGTTTTCTCGTCCGTAAAATGGGAGCAGAAATTTCCCCTCTTACTTCCCTCTTTCCCTCCAGCTCCATGGGATTATCTTCCAAGGTCTGGTTCAGGGCCTGCTACCCCCTGCCCTGTGAAGCCACCAGCCAGTCGCGACCTCTCTCCTGTACTATTTCCCTAAGACTAGCTCATTCAGCTCATGGGTCTTCCAGTTCCTAAGAGTGGGGACCCGAACTTGTTGATTTCTACCTTCCCTTAAAGTGCTGCACCAAGCTGAGCTCCCAACAGGTGTGAATGTACTCCAGGTGTGGGTGGGCACCTAGGACCCAAGCCCTACCCCTACAGACACACAGAGCAGTCAGGCTAGAGTGGGTAAGGGCTGAGGATGGGGAGAGCTGCAGGTGCCCTCCCACCCATCAGGCCAGGGCTGTGTCACTGCCCACAGCCTGCCCAGCCTCTATCCAACTGTCCAGAAAATGGAACCTAGTGCGTGGTCTGAATCAGCCCCACTTCCAATCCTACCCCGCAAGTAATCCACACGGCCTCCCTCCTCCATGCCACAGGATCACTCACAGCACTGCACAGGCCCCTAGAGTCCAGTTGGTCCACATCAGAGGAGAAAAGATGGGGCTAGGAAAAGGGAGACAACCCGCTCCAGATCACACAAAGGTGGCCAGAGGGGACTCAAGCCCAGGATCTGAGGCCCAGCCCAGACCCTTCTTATTCCACCAGTAGCCTCTGCTCCTTCCCTGTGCTTGCTGCTCAGGCTTCAGGCCAGATGGAGCAGCTATTAGCTCTGGGGACTGAATCAGAAATACAAGACAATTCACAGGTACGGCTAGATTTTCCCAAGACACAGTTGCTCCCAGGGAACAGACTTCCCCTTGGGTCTTTAGGAGTATCAACACTGGGCAGAGGGGGGACAGGATTTAGAACCCTAACTTTCCAGTCCCTGTGCAGCAGCCATGGAGCTCCCCACTGCCTCAGATGCCACATCCCCTCGTGCTATACCTCCAAGCCAGGCCCAAGCAAGCATCTGCCCCTCCCAGTCATACAGGGGCTGGTGGAGTAGCTCCAGGAAGACCTACTCACTGCAAAGGAGCCACCCCACCCTCCTCCCAAGACCCGCATGGAGTTATTCGGCAGAAGCCAGACAGGCTGTGCCTCTGCCCCCACCCACCCACCCTCCTCCTCAGAGCTGAAAAAGGGATGAGACCTCTGGTCTTTCCCACCCTACATCATGCCTGTCCCAAACTGCTCAGCCCGCCCCACCTGCTGCAGCACTAGCAAAGCCAGCGGCTGATGATGAGTGACATCCAATCCCCCTGCTGCCCCCAATTATTTTTAAGCAGGCTGCAAAATTCAGGCCATGGCTGCTGCTCAGTGGAGGGGAGGTGGGGGCTCATTATAACCGCCTCCCCTCCCCCACTTACAGCAGCTCAGGGAACCTCCCCTCACACACACACCAACACATGTGGGTTTGAACACCCTTGTGCCCTGAGGACACACCAAAGCATGAGTGCACAGACGTTCACAGGAGTTCTGCATACGAACGGATACATATGCACACGGACATGCAGACAGACAGGTGAAACCCACAGATTCATGCTGTCATGTGCACTCAGGAGTGAACACGCACACACACGGGTGTAGAGGCTCACACGTGTACACATGCACAGAGGTGCACACGCATTCTCAAGTGAGAACATACATGAGTATCTGGCCCTCTGAGGCTCGGCATATGACAGCTAAGTGTCAGGCAGGATCCTCTGCGGGGCCTTCCTTTGCGTGTCTGAAGCTGGGGCTCCCTCCCCTACCCCGCTCCTGGGCTGCTGCTCCCTACTCCACAGCCCCGCCCCATCAAGAAGCACAAGGTCCACATCCTTCACAGCCACAGGCTGGCTTCTCCAGAACGGAGTCACTTTTAACCCAACCCAAACCCCCCCCCCCCCAGTCTCCTTCAGACACCTTCACGCTCATTCTGGGATTTCATCCTGGACATGCGCGACCCTCACTGTGTCGGCTGCGGCATAAGACCTTTTGGGGCACCTTTTTATATCACTTCCCATCATTCAAAATAAGGCAAAGACCCAATTCCAAGCTGGGTCACAGACAGCCACTGGTTCATTAAAGACCCTCCCGCCTGTGTGTAGCCAGGCCTGTCCTCCTGGGAGCACTGACAACCCAGAGGCCTCTCCCTGAGCCACCCCGGGAAGGGAACCTAGAAGGATGATCCTTGTCTCCACAGGCAGCCCAAGTGGCTCTTAGTCATGATTAACCTCCCTGAGCCTCAGTTTCCCTCTCTGTGCAATGCAGACCGTGAGCCTTGCCCTCAGGATGGCAGACACCTCATCAGCCTCCCAACAAGTTCCCAACACAGAGCCTGGCCCACAGCCCTGTCTCCTCTCCGTCTATTCAGGACCTCATAAACGCTATCCTCTTGCCTGCTGAGTACAGGGCACTGCCTCTGGGAAGGCTCTTTGGGTTGAACCCTAAGTGGCTTGGCTACCTCCAAACCCAGGAAGACCACAGACCAATCCCTGCACAAGAGTTAGAGAGGAGAGGTACTAAGGTCAGCTCTGAGGAAGAACTTCCTGGGCCAGAGGTGGCTGATAGGAGGATCAAAAGGCCTCCTCCCTGAGAGATGGGTGAGGAGCTGACTGGAGTAGTCTCCCTCTCACTTTTAACCCTACCCAAGACCCCTCCTCTAGGGGGCTGGGGGCTGCCTTCACCACATGCCCCTGACCCCAGCAAGCCCAAGAATCCCACTCTGCCCAAACGCACTCAATCCCCTTTCTTTCAACCCCTCAGGGCTCCCCAGCTTCCCTTCTGCACCAATAAAGGAATTCAAGGCTTTCGGCAGCTGAAAGGGCCAAGGAAAGACTGTGGGGTAAGGGGCAGAGCAGCAAGAGAGGGGTGTCTCAGGGCCAGGGCCGGTCGGGGATTCCCGGGATGACTCCCATTTGACGCTGGGTGGCGGGGGAGGGGCGAGCCGGGGGAGGGGGCGCGGTGATGCGCACATCCGTCGCGTTTATCCACCTGGCAGCTCCAATTCGCCTGCCCGTCACTCACCCTCCGCCTCCCGGGCGCTCGCCGCTGGCCCTGCCCAGGCCGCCACGCAGGCGGGGACCCCCACTCGATGCCTTCGGGTCCTCTGCCAGTGCTCGGACCCGAGGACAGGGTCCTCAGGAGCTGCTCTCCCAGAGCTCTGTCGCCCCAGGGGGCGCACACCCTCCATCCTGCCTCCGGAGCTGGGGGACTGGGCCGAGGGGAGGGCGCGACCCCCTCTGTGCAGCCCTGCCGCTCCAACTGCCAGAGAGGGTCGCTCTCTTGGGGGAGGAGGTTCCTCCTTAAGCAGGAAAACGCGGGCAGAACCGGGAGGGGGACAGGGGCAGCCCTCAGCCCCTGGGGGCGGTGCCGAGCGGGCGGCGGGGGAGGGGGCGGTGACTCAGCCGCCCTCCGCCCGCCTCCCCGGAACTTTGCAGCAGCTGGAGCCGCCGTTGCTACAGGAACCAAATGCTTTTGTTCCCCAATGTCAGGGCTGCCGGGGCAGGCGGGTGAGGAGGAGGCTGCCACTCCCCAGTGGGACCCAGGTCCGGCCACACTGCCCAGAGGACTTCCAGCCATCACAGGTTCGAGTCCCCTTCCTCCGCGCCACCTTCTCTTCCCCCAAGCCACTCAGGCCAAAGCCAGGTTTCTTCAAACTCCTCAGGCCCTCAGGCCCGGTGGCCCTGCTAACTCTGACCCCAGGCGAAGGGCCCTGGGAAATTCCTGACGGTGTCTGACCTCCTGGGGGAGGGCAGAGGCTCTTCTATGGCTGAGTGATTTCCCACCTGGCTACCCCTAACAGGCTGCCTGCCTTCTGGGACTCTGACTGGGGTTTCTTCTCTTACTTCTCCCACCTCTGCAGCCTCTACACTTGAACCAAGACCCCAGAGACCTTGGCCTGGCTTTCACTAATATCCCTCTGGCCACAGCTGATTCCAGAGAAATATAGTGGGAAGTTGCAGGACCAAGGAGGAGATGAGGGAAACTGACAGTCACTGGCTCCCCCTGCACCCATACTTTGTGGGGGAAGAGGGGACTGGGGGCTAAAGGTGTTTCTGTCTTTATTATACTGGGGGTTGGAGTGAAGGCACTGGAATCTATTTTTCATTTTTCTCTTTTGGGATTAGGAGTGGAGTGGAGAGGGGCCTGACCTTGGCCTTGAACAGAAACAGCCCCACACCCCTATCATTATTGAACATTGCTAGGTGCCAGACACTCTATACAAACAACCTAACTTCATTCTCCCAACAGCTATATGAGGCAGTGATCAATGACCCATTTTATAGAGGGTCAACTGAGGCTCAGAAAGATTAAGTAGCTTGCCCATGTCACACAGCTTTTGAACATAGGTTGTCTGACTGAAAGCTGAGTTCCTAACTACTTACTCAGCTTCATTACCTGGGGGTGGGGAGGGAGGGAGGGATGGGGGCAGAGACCAGATGGAACCTCACTTTGTGTTACAGAAATGCAGACCACGCACGCACACCCCAGACTAGACATGTCCTTTTGAAGAGTGATACAGAAAGGGGGCAGAAGAGAGAGCGGAAGGAGGAGAGAGGGAAGAAGAGGGGAAGATCTCTTGTCTCAA